GAATTCTTCTTTTTTCTTTTTCAACCATCTTTTGATTTTTTCATATTGCTTTTCCTTTTCCTTTTTCATCTTTTAATTTCTTTTTTTTATATATATATATTTTGTTGAACAAAAGTGTCATGCATGTTATATGGCTCTAACTTTTAACTACTATGAAAGTGAATTTGTTGTTACATATGAGAAATTGTACTAGACATGTTTATGTGTTTATTGTAGTGTAGAGTAAACTTGGTTGAAATTCATAATCAAATATTTTCTCTATTTTTTTTTATAACAATATTAAAAATCTCATTTTGTATTGTGGGTAGTTCTTTTCTTGGAATTCTTGAATTAGTAAAAGCAAGAAAAATGAAGGCTATTTTGGGTTATTTCTACTTATTCAACCTCTTGGCTTATTATGCTCATGCTATGCTTACTCCAGCTGGTGTCAATTATGAAGGTTAGTTCTCATGAAATATTGGGGGTTTTGAGCTTTGATTATCGTATTATTTTGTTGTTGTTATTGTTAATTCTTTTGTATGTTATGTACTTGTTTTTCATTTTGTATTATCTCGTTGTTGTTATCGGGGGCGGAGCTAGCAATAGATGAGGCACCTTCCACGGAAAGTTATATCGTCTATACATGGTTACAATTATTTTTATGTACACATAGTATATGTTGAATTCCTTTGGTTTTTTTGTTTGCTTACTTTTTATATTTTGAACCCCTTATTGAAAATTCTAGCTACGCCACTCATTCTTACAACTTTCATTTATGTATTCTCTTTTCCAAACTGCTTTGATATGCTTTAATTTTTTGATTATTTCGTTGTTGTACTGGACGCGGAGCTAGCGAGGAGGGTTGAGGCGTTTTTTCCCAGAAAGTTGCACCGTTTATGCATGGTTTAAATTATTTTTACGTATACATAATAGATGTTGAATCCCTTTGGCTTGTTTATAGTGAAAATTCAGGCTACTGTCACTCGTTATTATTGCTTTCGTTTCTGTATTCTCTTTTTCAAATTGCTTTGAAATACTTTTCTTTAAAAAAAGTTAAGGGTTTATCGAAAACAACCTCAAAATGAGGTAGGATAAAGTCAGTGTACACTCAACCCTCCTCAAATCATGCTTGTGAAATCACACTGAATATGTTGTTGTTGCGGATTTTGAAAGTTAAAACCTCAAGAATTTTTTTTCTTTGGCAGTGCAAGCTTTAATGGAGATAAAGAAGAATTTAAATGATCCATATAATGTTTTAAATTGGGATGGAGATGCTGTTGATCCTTGTAGCTGGAATATGATCACTTGTTCAAATGATAAATTTGTCACTAGCCTGTAAGTAGAATAATTTTCACTTATTCTAAAAATAATATTCCTAACAAAATTTTCTTAATATAGTTCAATTATTGATTATGCAGGGAAAGTCCTAGCCAAAATTTGTCTGGCAAAATATCACCATATATCCACAACTTAACACACCTTGAACTTATGTGAGTATACTTACTTAACCAAAGTAAATAAAAAAAACGTATCCTTTAACCTGATCTCATCTGACAGTTAAACTTGTATAGAGTTAAACAAATAGATATACACGTCCTACGTGTATTAAGCTACCTAGGATGTGAGCTGACGTCAAGTTAAATGACATATTCTTAGATGTTAATATGAGTGTCCTGTTTTTTACAGACTACTACAGAGCAATAATATATCAGGATCAATACCTATGGAGCTTGGAATGCTTAAAAAACTTAAAACAATTGATCTTTCTGATAACAAGTTAACCGGCGAAATCCCGGCATCTTTAGCTCAGCTCAAAAACCTTCAATATTTGTAAGCAAAGAGAATTCTGAGATCTTATACAAACAGTTTTTTTGGGGGGTTAAAAACTAATGATGTTTGTTCTTTGATTTTTTGATGATTATAGGAGATTAAACAACAATAGTCTAAGTGGAGCTATTCCTTTGGACTTGGCCAATATGACTCAGCTTTCACTTATGTAATTTTCTAATACTATTTTCATGTTATGTTATATGTTCTTTATAACAGCATTTCGCTATAGCAGCTTAAAAATATATAGACAAATGACGTACGTAGTTATAGAGAAGTTTTACTGTATTTCACTTGGACATGTTTAGGGACTTGTCTTTCAACAATCTCAGTGGTCCTGTACCAAGGCTTCTAGCCAAAACATTCAAGTAAGAGTCTTGAAGAATTCTGTGTGTTTCACTTTTTTTTTTCTAATATCAGTAAATGAAACCAGTTTTTTTTGTATTTATTTGTCTTTTTTTTTTTATAAACCTTGTTGACACAGTGTTTTGGGAAATCCAATGATATGTGCAACTGGAAAAGAGAAAGAGTGCAACGGAACAACACCAATGCCCCTCTCCTTCTCTTCAAACAATCCACAGAGTAAGAATAACTAACCTTATTTTAACAGCCAAATGCTAGTTTTTTTTCTTTTTCATTTTATGACTGTGGTGTCAGAGCTAGCTTTCGTACATCTTAACTAATTTCACGACATACCTTTCACCTCCCATAAACAATAGGTATCAGGTAACTCTGTCCATCAATGCTCGGAGGGAGGGGTGAATCACCTGAGATCTCATGACTCTCAACCAAATGATAAATAAGCGCCTCTCTACCTTCACAAAGGTAGGGGTAAGGCTACATAAACACCACCCTCTCTAGACTACATATGTGGGATTACACTGGGTATGTTGTTGTTGTTGTCGATCGATATAATGATTATGGTGTTTTTACTAGTCATACAGATTTATGAAGTAAATTTGCTTCACTGGTTTAATTTTATCTGCTGATAGATTCAATATTTATAGTTCATTATCAGCTAAAAATGTTCTGTGTTATGTCAGATGTTCAGTCTTCTGGAAAACCGAAGACTCATAAGGTTGCGTTAGCGTTTGGAACAAGTCTAGGATGCATCTTCCTACTAATTGTTGGTTTTGGATTCTTTCTGTGGTGGAGACAAAAGCACAATAAGCAAATTTTCTTTGACAGTAATGGTGAGTATTGTTTGATCAGAACATTTTGAAGTTACGGTTTAGCTCATCGATCCTCTCTTGTAAACGTTATTGTCATAAATTGCAGAACATCATATTGAAGAAGTGTGCTTAGGTAACTTAAGGAGGTTTCAATTCAAGGAGCTTCAGTCTGCTACAAACAATTTCAGCAGCAAGAACATACTAGGAAAAGGTGGTTTTGGTAATGTTTATAAAGGTCGTCTTAGTGACGGGGTTATTGTAGCTGTGAAAAGGCTCAAAGATGGAAATGCAGTTGGAGGTAATCAACAATTTCAGACTGAAGTCGCGTTGATCAGCCTGGCAGTTCATCGGAATCTCCTCAGGTTGTATGGATTTTGTATGACACCAACTGAAAGGTTGCTGGTGTACCCTTACATGTCTAATGGAAGTGTAGCTTCGCGTCTCAAAGGTATACATATCTAAAAACTGTCTCCTTTTGGCCTATAAGTACATTTTTTCCTTCTTATTTGCTCGGCTTATAACGTATCATTTCTTGCAGCCAAACCAACCTTGGATTGGGGTACAAGAAAAGGAATAGCTTTGGGAGCTGCTAGAGGCTTATTATATCTACACGAACAATGTGATCCGAAGATCATTCATAGGGATGTAAAAGCTGCAAATATATTGCTTGATGATTACTGTGAAGCTGTTGTTGGAGATTTCGGATTAGCAAAGCTTTTGGATCATCATGATTCACATGTCACAACCGCGGTTAGAGGAACTGTAGGACATATAGCTCCGGAATATCTCTCTACAGGACAGTCCTCTGATAAGACGGACGTTTTTGGTTTTGGTATTCTCTTGCTAGAATTGATCACTGGAGAAAGAGCTCTGGAATTTGGTAAAGCAGCAAACCAAAAAGGTGCCATGCTTGATTGGGTAAGTCTAACAAATTCCCTATAATTGCTGTAACATTTCTCTTTATCACCATGGTTTGACATGACTTCTTGCGCCGAGGGTCTATCAGAAACAACTTATCTACATTCCATGGTAGAGGTAAGGCCTGCGTACACTGGTATTACATTACACTGGATATGTTGTTGTATATATGCACGTGCACAAACACCATCTAGAATATGAACTCTATAAGGTATTTAGAGATGCAACGAACTAAAGTACGAACCATCTTTAAATCCTGGATCCGTCCTTGTTGTTTTTTCACTTGCAGGTAAGAAAGATTCAACAAGAGAAAAGGCTAGACATGTTGGTGGATAAAGACATGAAAAACGAGTACGATACGATAGAGTTAGAGGAAATGGTACAAGTAGCATTACTATGTACTCAGTATCATCCAAGTCATAGACCTAAAATGTCTGAAGTTGTAAGAATGCTCGAAGGAGATGGACTAGCAGAGAAATGGGAAGCATCTCAAACAGCAGAACCAACAAGATACAGCAGAGCAAATGAATTTTCTTCTTCAGAAAGATACTCTGATCTTACTGATGATTCTTCATTGCTTGTACAAGCAATGGAACTATCTGGTCCAAGATGATAAGACACAATGTCACTTTTGCTGGTGGGAGGTGACAGGTCTCTCGTAGAATTAGTCGAGGTGCGTGAAAGTTGGTTCAAACATCGCAAACATAAAACAGAAAACATGTGTTATATTGAGCTTTGTTTATAGGTTTATACAGAAGCTGCAAATAGAATATTATACATTCTGACTGTAAAAAGGATAATTAAATAACTTTGTAAGGTTGGGAGTTGTTTTTCCTTTTTTTTTTTTTTTGGTTCTTGTTTGTTTTAAGTGGACATGTTTATGGGATGTTATAATTTGTGTAGAGTTCTTCAAAAATGGAAATGAAAAAATGTTATTGATTTATTAGTATTAAGTTCTAACGTTTTTTTTCTTATTTATATTTGGGTATTGCTTCTTAATGGTTTGAGTTTTTTTCTTAATAGGTTAACCGATAACAGGATCAATAACTAACAAACTGATATCTAAATAATTGTATAGACAAAATGATATACTATATAACAATCTATATATAATAATCAAGATTCTTTCATCACCAGAAATGTCAAAATACCCTCCTTTTGATTTGTTTCCAATAAATATCAAAAACACACATCTTTTAAGACCAAACATTGTACAACATGTTTGAAAAATCAAAAAAGAGCAAAGTTATACATGACAAAATCCTATAATGGCTCTTGAATAAATTTAACTGTAGCTTGAGGAGAAGCACGTCGAAATGTTAACAAGTCGATCAACATTTTCACCACTTTATCTGTGACGTATATAGTAGGAGCCACAATCATTTGTTCGAGAACAGGTGAATGTCCAAGTAAGAATTTGATAAATGCGATTTCATGTGGCAGACCGGAGAAATCAGTCATATGCACAATCTTCAGTTTACCAAAAATGCAGTCAGCAGGCCAGTCTCTCTCCCAAAATTCTAGATCATAAATATCGGTGGTGGTTGTAATCGAGGAACTCTGACAAAGACAAGCGTTTTGTGAGAATCTATTTTGTTTAGAATAAGAAATCAAGCATTTTGACGTATACTTACAGATATCTGAAGCTCCTCTAGATTAGGAGAACTCACAATCAAGCGAAGCACAACAAATAACTCCTTCATGTCTTCAAAACTAACTTGGTACAGTTCAATGAACTTCAGATTTTGATACGTAACGGGAAAGTTCCCTTGCTCATTTCCTATACTCAAATACTGCACAAAGAAAGGGAGGATAGAAGTAAGGTTAAGACTTCAAATATTCGATCTATAGATACAGATAAAAGATATGTGAAAGAAGTATTTTACACCCAATATTGGAAATTAGAAAGAGACCTTACTTTAGTGAAGTATATATGACCAATAAGCCTCTCAAGGCAAGGAACACCACCAAGAAACTTGTCGAAATTGCAACCTGAGCATTGTTCAAAGTGCTCAGCTATATCATCAGTCATATACATAGCAACTGAAATACCGATCAGCTGTGGAGTATTCTCAAGGCGTATATCCTTAAATTCACCTTCCAAATTCAGATATTTGAGATTTGGAGCTCGAATAGTAAGCTCCAAACTGTCAAAATATGACAATGTCAAGCTCTCAAGAAGAGGGCAACTGGAGATGAGAACTTCAATATCATGCGGAGGAATGATAACTTGTTGGAGACTAAGGTGCTTCAAACACAAGAAACCTTTGAAATTTGGAGGAGGGTTTAATTCACATCGAACAAGCACCAAATGAGTCAACTTAGGACAAAAGAACACACATGAAGGTGCTCTAAACCAGTCATCTTCTCCTATATCAATAATCAACTCTTTGATATCTTTACGAGAAAGGAAAAGTAGCCACTGATCTAAATCAGGAGAAGCTGGCGAGTAGGAAGTATTCAATTCAAACTTGTGAATCGGTCCGTCATGAAGAAACAGGCAACGGGTAATGAAATTTACAAGATTGCAACTGATAATTGATTTGTCATGGCCAGAAGTCAGACATGTGTCATTAAAAACAAGTTCTGTAATGGCTGCCCACTTGTATCTCCATTTTCTTGACAATATGCTTGTCCTTACAGCATCGACTAATGGAACTTTTACGAGGATGCTTTCTATGATACTTTGAGGCAAATCACTTAATAAATCGCTATCCGAATCAGTGTCCATCTATCAACTTCAGTTGGATAATATCTGCATAAAGATCAAATTCAACCTCTCAGCATTTAGAAAAGAGAACTGCATTCAGAAAAGAAAACTTAAACTTTTGTCACGGATTCAATTCTGAAAACACCTAAAAAGTTACACTTCTTTTTCTTATCAAAAGAAAGAACTTCAAATTAGACAAAACTAATGAGATTTTTTTGTTTGTGCAAAAAATACAAGAAATGGGACAGAGAATAATCATAACACAACATCACAACTTCCTAATGTATCCGCCTAATGAATAATGAGATTTAAACAGCCTGCACACTTTATATTCCCCAGGCTATGGAGCCCTTGAGGCAGATCCATATAAACCTAATTTGTAAACATCTCTATCGTGAAAAGCATTATTCACATCCATCTTAGCCAAAGGCCAATTTCTTGAGGCTACTTAACTGACAACAGTCTCGCCACAGACAATCTTGGCCACCAGAGAAAATGTCTCATTATAGTCCAATTCTTCTTGTTGATTGTACCCATTAGCCACCAACCAGCCTCAAATCTGTCCACATCACCATTGGTCTTATTATTTTGTAATTGGACATTGTATAGGGACAGCTTTTTCTATGCTTGTATAGGGACAACATACTCCTATGGACATAAAGATGGCTTGAGTCTCCTAGATGATTCTCTGAGTTCTGCAACAACTTCACCAGTTTGGTCAGAACGTAAATCACCAGCTTGTGCAACATCTGGTCCTATTGCACTTCCTCTCGAGACTGTGGAAAAGGCATTCCAATGTCAATTTCAGCAATGATATCCTATATAGGCATAGCTAATTGTGAACTTGTACCTGCATATGGCTGCAAAGTGTGACTCAGAACTGTCTCAGATCGGATTTAGTGCAGCAGGCTGAGTAAGATTCACGAACAACTTCACTTTTTAGGAACCCCTTGTCTCCAAATCATATAGCTTGAATCCCTTTTAAGTCTAACAATATTCCATAAAGGAACTTGTTTTCCTAGTTTAGTACTCCAAATAAGAGGCAAAGCACAAGCATACAAACACCCTTAAATGTCTCAGTGGTGGTATCTTCTTAAACATTAGTTCACAAGGCGTCTACCCTACAGGACTGTTGTTGGCCACCTATTTACCAGATACGCTGTTGTTCTCAGTCTCCCTGAAATCTATCTGGCAGAAAACTTTGTAATTTCAATGCTCTAGCAACTTCAAGTATACTTATGTCTCCTCTCAACGGCTCCTTTCTGTTGAGGGGTATAAGGTCAACTACTTTGATGCATAATTCTATATAACATCAATGATTTAGAACATTTTGAGTAAAAACTCTATCCCATTATTGGACCTTAAGACCTTATACATGACTTACATCATAGTTAAATTCAGTCTAAGTGACTAGATCATAGTCGAATTCATAGACATGCAAAGTGGTGATGTTAGTAAGAGAGAAGCTATTAGAGAGAAGAACGAGAAGTTTCTTACTCCGTATATATGTAACTAACTCTATTACAAGGAGAAGAGATATTAATCTCCCACACGACCTATATGAACTACTAACAGAAAAGAAAAAAAAAGGAAGATAGACAACAACTCTTCCTTCTAATGCATATAACTACTCCGAGTATTTCCACAACCCCGCACACAGCAAAAAGGTCTTCTCCGAGCACGAAGTGCTAATCTGACCAGAGTAGGGTTGGTGGAAGGGTGGACATATGCATTTAAACAAGAGACTCTTTCCGCGCCTCAAACCCATTACCTAGAGATAAATCAAAGGAAAAACTATATACATTTCATCAGTTTCAAAAACAAAAAAAAATACTCTATGCATTTAAAGGTAGAAATTGGGATTAAGTAACCATTAACCTCTACGCCCACTTGGCCTATAAATCAACATATAACTTTCACCCATCAACATTTTAGACAAAACCCATCTCAAATATAGCAAATTTAACTGCCACTCAAAATTCATTAAGCAAATTAACAGTTTTTGGGATCAACCACACAGGGAAACATTTTTTGCAAAACCCAGAATCCCTAAAATTCCAGAATTTTTCAGATCAACTCTCTTAACATCAACACCATATGAGCTATAAATAAATTAACTTTACCCCCACCGACATTTTAGACAAACCCATCTCAAATATAGCAAATTTAATCACATCCAGATGATAAAAATGTAATCTTTAACAAAAAGAAGTACAGTAATAGAGTATAAAAACAAATCAACAGTTGTATTTACAAGAAGGAAAAACCTGCGATTGAATTTGAAGGATTCTTGAATTTCCGGCCAACTAAATTTGTGATCGGAGAAATGAAAATGAAAGGCGAAATACATGCGGGGGTGTCTGTAAATGGGTGACAACTTGGGAAATCTGAAATATGACTGCAAACCTCAAATGTAGTTTATGAAACTACAAGGACCTAGAAAATAATTTTCAAAACTGACCTTTTTTTTCTTCCCTTTTCTAAATTATTAAGTATTTTATGTTTCGTTCGCGAAAAATACATGACACGTGTCTTTATATGTGTTATTATTATCGAATCGTAATTAATTAATACATATTTTTTTACTTTAGTTTATTGCCTATGAATTGATGTAAACGTGGAATATGAATAATTTTTTTTTTCATATTCATTATAATTGAGTTTATCGTATTTCCACCTTTGACGATAGGTCTTGGCTCTTGAAAATGGAAAATCTCTTATGCTTAAATATTACACTATTTGTGGGCTTATTCAACCTGGAACGAGATTAATAAAGATTAATAAAAACTTGATTTGGAATTAGATTAATTAATATGTAGAGCATGTAAAATTTTCACACGAACAATTTCAGTAAATCTTTCAATTTTTTATTTACTATTTTTAACTCGATATGTTCTTAATAAATGCACAAGACTGATTATATTACTATCTTTTTCTTGATCGTACTAACAACCAGGGAAATGTAGGGCTGTTTAAAATCGAATTGAAACCGATAAGTCAAATCGATAAAAAAGTTATTATTTTATAATATTGGGTTACTGGTTTAGTGGTTTTGATAACCGTTTTGATTCTTTTTGTTATTAGGTTATCGGTTCTCAAAGGTTAAAAAGTTTTTTCTTAATGGGCTGATCGACAATCCGATAGTAAATTAAATAATTATATTTATACCATTTTGTATATAAAGTCCTCGACTTAGAGTTTAATTTCTTACTTTTCTTTTTAGTTGTCTCAAACACTTGATTATTCTACGATGTAAAAATATTTGTTTTTGAGTAAGATATAACTTATGAACTCAAGGTTTATTTGGTTTGTCACCTTATTTCTAAGTGATTTTCAATATTTTTTTCTTTTGTGTCAAATATTAACGGTTAAACCGATAACCGAACCGATAACGACCAAAAATCGATAAATGATAACCCAATATCTTAATGGTTCTATAACGGTTTAACATTTCTACAAAACGATAACCGATAAGCCAACCCAATAAACTTCAAAATCAAATCAAATCGACCGATACACAACCCTAGAAAAATGTTTTATATTATGCTAACTATTTAATAATTAATTACCTTTATGGCTTTCGATATGCTCTTATTTATTATTTGGATATTTTATGAAAGAGTTTACTTTAAAAAAAATAACTCGAGCCTATATTCTTTGTTAGGACCGTAAATAAGTAGGTGTAAACGCGGAAGCTAGCAAAGCATACCTCGAAAGACCACGAGTAAGAAGACAATGAGAAATATACCAAAAGACACAAAGATTTAACATGGTTCAGTCAATCGACCTACGTCCACAAAGGAGATGAGC